TTAAAATAAGTATTAAAAATAATATAATTTTTCTAATAATAAAATACTAAAAAAACCACAACTACAACATCCCACAATAATTTCAAAAACAATCCAAAACTACGCCATCCGGTTCCTGATTTATCAAACAAGATTACAAACTACACCATCCTTTTCAATGCAGGTTTATTTATTTATGTACGTTCAAAAACCTGGTCGATAAGGGTCAGCTTCTACTTCTACTGGCCCGGTTTACTTCAACCTTCTTGGGTTAGGTTAAGGCAGTGGATCAAATTTCTTAGGCTTGTGGCCCAACATAAGTGAATAAACCATGTCCATTGGAGTTTCAGGACAGCCCTTCTTTTCTTACCCCCGTCGCCCTCGCCCCTCTATTGGCGCCACTCAAACTAATCCCAAAAAGAACTTCTCTCCGGCAACTTTCCGGTCTTTCAGCGGAAACCTAAACCTCGTACCTGTTCAATGCTGCTCGTGTCGCCAGATTCGGCAACGATTGCTCTTCTTCTGTCGATGTAGCTTGCGGCAGAGGCAGGGTATATTACTGATATTAATCTTCACCTGTGAGACGTTGATTAATCGACCTCAGGTGGATTGAAAACCGACGACTCAAGCAATTTCTTTGATTCTTCATCTTCAGAGCCTAAAATTTTACCGTAAGTTGCCTGCAACAATTTCAAGATTAAATTTTACCCGTTCTTATTTCAATTTTGGAGAATTACATAAGTTTGCTTGTTTTTTGCATCATTGCTTGTTTTTTTAATTTCTGTTATTAATGAAGAAGTTCTTTCAGGATATAATTGAAAGGGTTAGGTTGAGGCTTAGTAGTCTTTATGATGGCATTAGGAGCTTTTGTAGAAGAACTAGAGAAAAGAATGGAAGTCAAGTTCATATTTATTTCTATTAATGGGTACCGATTTGTTCGAGTTATTGTTGGTTGACGTGACATCCGTAAAATCTCTGCTTTTAAGGGGATATATAATAATATAAATGAGTATGGTTAGGTTGAGCTATTTGAGAAGAATATGGTATAGACTATAGATTCATGGAAGTCTAAAGTTCCACAATTTCCCTGCAACTGCATAATGGAACACTCACTGATTGTTTCACGTGCTTCTATCTGGTTCCGCAAATGCAATGACTAGGAATAGTAAACAAAACGAAGACCGACTTTGAACTTCATGGCAGCACCGCTTTCACTCCCATTATAATAGGCGCTTCTGCCTCTCAATCTGATCCTTCAAAAAATGGAAATTCCACTCCGGCCATTCCTGGTCCTCTGTACTTTCTCTTTGTGCTTATTCTTAAATGTAGGCTTTGTTTGGAGTCTCTGTCTTGAGGATCAGCGTTCTTCACTGCTAAAACTTAAACAAACACTCATTTTTGACCCTGCTCTTTCATCCAAGCTCGTTTCCTGGAATTCATCAATCCATTGCTGTTCCTGGCCCGGTGTCACATGCAGCGGTAGTGGCCATGTTATTGGTCTTGACCTCAGTGAGGAGTCGATTTCTGGTGGGATTGACAACTCAAGCAGTCTCTTTAATCTTCATCATCTTCAGAGCCTTAGTTTGGCTTGGAACAGTTTCAATGGCACTCGGATTCCATCTGGGTTGGGCAAACTTGTTGATTTGCGCCACCTCAACCTCTCCAATTCTGAATTTGCCGGACAAATCCCGGCTGAGATTTCCGACTTAACGAGGTTGGTCTCTCTTGATTTTTCTATATGGAGCTTATATGTATTGAAACTTGAGAATCCAAATTTGTCGATGCTTGTTCGCAATTTAACGAGGCTCACGGAATTACACCTCCAAGGAGTCGATCTATCTGCGGAAGGACATAACTGGGGTCGTGCCTTGTCTTCACTACCAAGGCTAAGAGTATTGAACCTGGCTGACTTTTTTCTTTCTGGTCCTATTGATTCTTCTCTAGCTAAGCTGAGGTATCTCTCTGTAATCCGATTGGGTGGCAACAACATCTCCTCTTCAGTTCCTGAATTTTTGAGTAATTTCTGGAATTTGACTTTATTGGATATTGCAAGGTGTGATCTACGTGGAAATTTTCCAAAAAAAGTTCTTCAGCTGCCAAATCTACAGGGTCTTAACATATCTGACAATCCATTGCTTCAAGGGTCTCTGCCTGAGTTTTTTGAAAATGGGTCTTTGCAGACCCTGATGCTGAGTGCCACAAACTTTTCAGGGATAATACCGGACTCCATTGGGAACCTTAAGGGGTTGTCAATAATGGACCTTTCATTCTGCAATTTCAAAGGGTCAATTCCAAACTCGATAGGAAGCCTTACAAATCTGGTTATTTTGGAATTGCCTTGGAATCTGTTTTCTGGGTCCATTCCATCATCTTTTAGTATGTTGAAGAATTTGACTGATTTGAATCTCTCTAATAATAATTTGTCTGGTCAGATAAGTTTCATCCATTGGGAAAACCTTTCATATCTTGTGAATCTTGAGTTGGGTAACAATTCACTAGAGGGAACTATCCCCTCGCCACTGTTTTCCCTTCCATCTTTGCAGATAATATATCTCGCAAACAACCAATTCTCTGGTCAAATTGGTGACTTTCCGGTTGTGTCTTCTTCTCAGCTGGTCGAACTTGATCTGAGCAGTAACAGGTTAGAAGGTCCAATACCCAGTTCCTTTTTCGAGCTTCAAAGTCTTCAGCTACTCATTCTCTCTTGCAACAACTTCAGTGGCACTTTAGAACTAAGCATCATCCAGAAACTTGGTAATCTTTCCTGGCTTGATCTCTCTTATAATTATCTTCTTGGAGTTATCCCGGAGTTGATATGCAATATGGATTCTCTTGAAGTCCTTGATTTGTCTCTTAATTCTTTAAGTGGCACCGTGCCCTAGTGTTTGATTAATATGACTCAAAGTGGCTCCTTTAGTGTATTGAATCTAAGGAGAAACAGCTTGACTGACACTATTCCTGATGCATTTTCAGGTAACTGTGGACTACAAATTCTGAATCTCAATGAGAATTCCCTGGAAGGAAAGCTTCCTGAGTCCTTGGCCAATTGTAAAATGCTTGAAGTTTTAGATATTGGGAACAATGGGATAAATGATAGCTTCCCATGTTGGTTAAGTACCATATCCACTCTCCAGATTCTTGTTTTGAGATCCAACAAATTCTATGGGTCCATTGAATGTCCAATGAGCAATGAAACCTTGCCTCTACTTCACATTGTTGATCTAGCTTCCAACAAGTTTGGTGGAAAGTTGCCAAAAAAATTCTTTGAAACATGGACAGGAATGTTGGTTTCGAAAGATGGAACCCAAGCTATATTTAATTACCACTATTTTGATCTTATAGTGGGTCAATTATATTATCAGGATGTGGTGAAAGTCACCAACATAGGTTTAGAGATAGAGTTGGTGAAGGCAATATTTATCTCCATTGATTTTTCATGCAACAAATTTGAAGGGAAGATACCTGAAGTGATTGGAGAATTCAAGGCACTCATTGCCCTTAATTTGTCACATAATTCTCTTACAGGTCCAATCCCTTCATCTCTAGGAAACTTGCATAATCTTGAGTCCTTGGACCTTTCTAGTAACAACTTGACAGGCAATATTCCTCAACAGCTGGGAGGCCTGAATTTCCTTGCAGTGCTTAATCTCTCACACAATCAACTGGAAGGAAGAATCCCAAAAGGAAATCAGCTTCAAACATTTTCAGAAGATTCCTTCAAAGATAACAAGGGATTGTGCGGGGCTCCTCTGATGGCGTGCAGAGATAAGGTGCAGCCACTACCTCAAGACAAAAATTCAAATGATGGAACCAAGATTGATCGGAATCTCATAGGTGTTGAAGGGGGATTTGTTTTTGGTTTAGCCATTGTCATTTTACCACTTATGTTTTGCTAGAGATGGAGGATATGGTATTACAAACGTGTTGACAGTGTTCTTTGCAGGATTTTTCCTCAGCTAAACCAAAGAAGCAGAAATAATGGGCGTAGAGCTCTCAAGACACACAGGAGGATGGACTAGCAGAGTGGTTATGAAAAGGGAGCATACTACGTCCTGATATAGTTGTTCCAGAAATAAGAGATGCCTAGATCCAATGTTCTTGTTTAGTAAGCCTTTCAAACAACCTATCAGGTATCATACTGGGAGGTGAAGCTACATTTGTATGCATGTAATTTCTTGTCTTTCCAATACCAAATTTTACCTGTTCTTATTTCTAGTTACCTTTATATTAACTTATAAATTGCATTGGGCAACAAAAGAAAGCTGGTCTTTGCCCAAATAAAAATAAAATAAAATAAAATAAAAGGAAGTGTTAATTATAGTCTTATAAACCAAATTGGATTTTCCAAATGTGGAGACTGCTCTTTTATTTTTCTCTGATTGATGTGACAGGAGGAATTGCTCCTGTTATGGACATCTAACAAACACCATTACAATTACAGAGAAGCTACATTTTCTTCTCCAGTCTGTGTCTTTCTTTGTTTCTATGTGGTAAAATCTCAAGTCTCCTTTTATCCTTCAAGTCTTGCAACAAGTCATGCTGTCTGGTTCATGCCTCATCTTCACTCCTTGTTTTCTCTCCTAATTTTTGGTCCAACAAGATGCATATTCTTTTCCAGTAGACTGGATCAAAGGTTTCACTAGCGGTGTCCGACAGCAATTTGTTTAGCGGAGGGAAAAAGCTTGCCGTCCTAGGAAATCAAACGTGAGCCTGACAGGTGAAAGTAACACTAAAATCTTTACTGAGCATTCAGTCTCTGTTTCATTATCATGGAGGTTGTTATTTCTATGATACAGGTTGAATTTAATTTCGTTCAAAACAGTTACTGTTGTGGTGACATATGGAACTTTACAAAGCTCCACTATCTTCCCCTCTCAAGTTCCAAGTTCCTGCTTTTCTTTTCTAAATTTCTCCTGGTAGAATTTCATCACACGGGACCATCAGAACTCCTGCACCGCATCTTGTCACATTTATTGTCAAGATCCTTTATCCTTCTGATGGCCTCGGCTCAAAATGGAAATCTCCTTATCAACCAGACGAACTCCCAAGATCGAGTTTTTTTCTTAATATTTTTTGTACAGCTTATATTTCGTTATCAGCTACACCAGCTAATAATTATACTCGAATTAGGAACTGTGACATTATCATTTGTCGAATTTTAAAATGATATGTTATCTATAATCATATGAATAAAAAACTGTTTTCTATTATTTATTTTAATGATTTAAAATTAAGTGTAATTATGACATAATTAAATAAATCTAATTAATTTAAAATTTCACATACATATTTTATATAGATAATGTATTGAATTCGACAGTTGATTTTTAATATTCACATTTTACAAAGAACTACTGACTAATGTTATATTAATGTAAGTGGATAAATAAACTCAAGAAATCTTCTTTCATAAATGCAGCTGGTATCAAATCTCATCCAAACCATATATACTTCATCACTCTCAGAATAATAGAGGTTTTTTTAATTAAAAATTTATCTAAAAATGATATATTTTAAAAAGATAAATATTTTTTTATTTTAACTTTATTTCTATTTTTTAACTTTAATTATCCATACTACCATAAAAAATATCTTTTTTTTTAATTCTATTTTTAGGATAAGATAAGTAAAAATAAAAATTATCCTTAAATCTTTAATTCAAATATAAAATAAAAAAAAATCTATAAATGGACAAATAATCATCAGATGCAATCCATATTGAGAATAACAAATATTTACTGCTCTGTCCATTTATTTTTATTTTTAGCAGATTAAATTTAACTTTTTGACTTTTTAAATATAAATTTTATATGAAAATTCAACAATTTATATGAATAATAATTAAAAAAAAATTTCTTCCTATATGAAATTTTTGTTGATTACTTTTACTTAGTTAAAAAAGTTTTCAATTATTATTTATATAATATGTTAAATTTTTATATGAAATTTATATCTAAAAAATCAAAAAGTCAAGTTAAATATATTAAAAATAAACGAAAAGAGTACCCTTTTTTATCATAATATTTATTAACTTAAAAATCTTGATTTAAGATACAAATTGAATTCAAACTTTGAGGAATGCTAGCTGCACTCGCCTTTCTCCAGCACTCTCCAACACTCTCTCGTGTAAAATGTCCACGTAACAAAATTTGGCTATTCAAAGTTTCCGAGTAGAAAAGTTCACGTGGCTATTTTAGATGAGGGAGTGCTGGAGAGTGCTGGAGAGTGCTGGAGAAAGGCGAGTGCAGCTAGCATTCCTCTTCAAACTTTTGTAATGTAAAGACATAACTTAAGATACAATAATTATCAAAAAAATAAAATAAAATAAAATGTACCAAAAAAACTAAATTTGACAAGATTAGAGTCAATCCAAAAATCTGACCTAATATATTTGATATAGATAGAGTCACAAGTCTAAGTTATTAATTTAAAATATGATATAATCCAAATTAAAATTATTTGAATCCAACCGAATGAAGTCAAGGAGTTAGGGTCAAGTCGAGTGAAACTGATATGATTAAAATTAATTAATTTTTAAAAATTTTAAATTTTAATTAATTATATTTTTAATTTTAATTTTTAAATATAAAATAAAATTAAATATAATTAAATAATTATTATTTATTAGATTATTAGAGTTTATATTAATTTAATAAATTTATTTTACTAAATAATTAATTAATATTAATTTTTTTTATAAAAAATAGATAAAATATTAAAAAATTTTAATTTTAATTGTAATTTTTTTTTTTTTTTAAATCAGGTTCAACCGATGCAATACAAGATCCATGTGGAGAGGTAATTGATTTGCCTCCTTTAACCCAAAATCCAAAATAACCCAATTTAATAAAATTAAAATTCCAAGTGATCCAATCCCAAACCATCTAATTTGACCTGATTACTAGTTCTAAAAAAAAAAAAACTATTTTCTGGACATAATAAAGCAAATAATTAAGGAAACTATACGGTTTTTGGGTAACTAATTCTCACGGTAGACTCTTGTTGTCCATTTATTGGAAAGAACAAGATCAAAGGGTAGTTGAGACAGAAGGCAATCTCCAAAGAATTCATATCCATAAAAACACCAGTTTAATCAAATATAACAAGTAGCCATCAAAAACGGCCTATCAAATATTATCAAAACAAGATTAAAACTGGTACTGCAACATCCTGTTCCTGATCTACATCAATTGGCAACCCTAATCAAAGCAGAGACGGGTCCAAACTGGGATAGAAAAATATTGCGGGTTTGTTAGTTATGTATGCCTGAGCCGGTAAAGGTCAGGTTCGACTTCTACTGGCCCGTTTTACTTCAACATTCTTGGACTAGGTTAAGTTAGTGGATCAAATTTTTTGGGCTTGTGATTAATATAGATAAATTATTATCAATGATTATGAATAAACCATGTCCACTGGACTTTCAGGACACCTCTTCTTTTTCTTCTCGGTTGGCACTGCTCGAACCATGTCCAAAAAGATTTCTCTCCGCCAACTTTCCGGTCTTTCAGCGGAAACCTAAACTTGATACCTATTCGATTCTGTTCGTGTTTCCGGATTCCGTGAAGATTGCACTTCTTCGGTCGGTGTAGCTTGCGGCAGCGGCAGGTGGAATGGAAGTCCACAGGTAAAGCAATTTTTTCTTTGATTCTTCATCTTCTGGTAAAACTGCTTACTTTAAAATAGATCTTTCAAGATTACATCCAAAAAAATAGACTTTCATCCACATGGCTTCTACCTATTCCAAGTAAGACAGAAACCATTACATTAAGCTAAGTATCTAGTTAAAATTCAACACTTCAACAGTATGCAATGAGTATTTCACTCTTCTCTTGGCTTTTTCATGTTACGCTTTACAGCAATTTTCTTTGAACTGGTTGCAGTTTTGGTTTCTGGTCATTGTCAAAGCATCCGGATTTTTACTCCAATTAAACAGCCTAGAATTCAATTCTGCGTTACCTGTTTGATGACCTGTAATGTATAATAACTTGATGGATGGAGGAAGACTTTCGTCTATATCAATTTTCAAAATGAAAAGACGACAGCTTTCTGTAAAGCAACAAAACAAGGTTAAAATAGTTTCCAATTTCTCCGAAGGAACGTAGATATTCTCCTTCTCACTCCTATTATTTATCATTTGCGCCTGCCCCTCTCAATCTCATTCTGCAAAAAATGGAAATTTCTCTCCAGCCATTCCTGATCCTCATTGCTTTCTCTTTGTGGTTACACTAAAACGCAGGCTCTGTTCGGAGTCTATGTCTTGAGGATCAACAATCATCACTGCTGAAATTTTTAAGCAAACACTCATTTTCGACCCTGCTCTTTCATCCAAGCTTGTTTCCTGGGATTCATCAACCAACTGTTGTTCTTGGCCTGGCGTCGCATGCAGCGGTAGTGGCCATGTTATTGGTCTTGACCTCAGCAATGAGTCAATTTCTGGTAGGTTTGACAGCTCAAGCAGTCTCTTCGGTCTTCATCATCTTCAGAGCCTTAATTTGGCTTTAAAAGGGTTCAATGGCAGTCGGATTCCATCTGCTTGGGACAAACTCGCTAATTTGCGCCACCTTAACCTCTCCTATTCAGAATTCGGCGGGCAAATTCCGGCTGAGATTTCCGGTTTAACGAGGTTGGTCTTTCTTGATACTTCAATGTCACGGGGCCCATATTCATTCTATTTTTATTCGCATGCTGAATTGAAACTTGAGAATTCAAATCTGTCAATGCTTGTTCGCAATTTAAGGAGGAGAAATCGTGCTTTCTCTTTCTCTGAACCGGAGGAAACAGAATCCATGCTAGAAACAGATTTTGCAGATTTTGCAGGCCAGTGTTTCTTTTACTGGTGCAAAATAGTGTTCATGAATCATATCAGAATCCATTCTACTACAAGGTTCTGAAGATGTAGTTGCTCACTTAAACACAATGAAGTACATTTATATATAAGCCTATTCTCAAAACTTATATTTTATTATATATCATAACTAGAAACCATGGTAGGATCCAATAACTAGAAACCATGGTCATTCATATAAACGAGAACTAAGTTGTAATTCAACAGTAACAACCAAAAAAAAAAAAAAAACTACTCTGAATTTCAGATGTTTTGTGCAATAAATAACACATGAAATGATTATCTATACGAAAGGAATACTAATACACAAAAGAACTGTACAACTAAGTTTAATTTACTTGCACAATTGCTTTCCCACACATTCCTATAGCCAAAGGCGCAAAAAGCATTCCAATCAGAATGGCAATCATTGAATTATTCACTACATGGAGACAACCATGTTTCACAAAGTCTGAACGTTGTTCACTGTCCAAGTTGAACCTGTCAATTAATAAACTTTTTCCTTCCTTTAGGGCACTGTTATTTCGTTCCTGGCTTGCCATTGTTAATGTTGTCCTGCAAGAAAATGCAACTTTGAATCCAACACTGAAAAAAAGCAAAACCATATGTTAAGCCCCTAAACAACTCCAGATTTGCTATTGAACCCCAAACTTTAATTAATGCATTTAAGCCCATGGGCTCCACAATCTGGGCAATTTAACCCTTATCCTTTAGTAATTTAGCCCTTATTTCTATGGTAGTTAAAGAATTAAGGGTTAAATTGCTCAGATCGTGAAGTCTTGGGGCTTATATGCATCAGTTAAGATTTCAAGGTTCAATAACAAATTTAGGATTAGTCCAGGGGCTTAACATATGGTTTTGCCCTGAAAAAACAGCAAAAAATTCAGGAAAGCACATGCAGGGTTAGGGTAGTGGATCAAATTTTTTGGGCTTGAGGCCCAACATAAATGGAAAATCCGGGTCCATTATTGGGCTTTCAGGACAGCTCTTTTTTTTTTTCCTTTTTTTTTTTTTTATTCACAACGATCGCCCGCGGCTAGGTCACCCAAAATAATCACAAGTGAAGGTATCTCTCCGGCGATGGCAATCGCTAATCTCGGTAACTTTACTGTCTGTCAGCCGAAACCTTTCCTCTGTACCTGTTCGATGCTGCTCGTGTCGCCAGATTCAGCGACGATTGCTCTTCTTCGGTCGGTATCGCTTGCAGCAGCGGCAGGGCATGCATATGCAAGCCTTGACCCAGGCGATGTCAATTAATCGACCTCAGGTGGAATGGAAATCTACAACTCATGCAATTTCTTTGATCCTTCCTCATCTTCAGTGCCTAAAATTTACCGTAAGTAGCCTGCAACAATTTTTTAAGATTATTATTTCTTT